ACCAGGCACTACTAGAGAATGTAAACATAGTCATTTTTTCAGTCCATGCCTTGCACTCAACAGATGGAATTCCTACTTCCAGATAAATGGCTGCATTGCACACACAAGGAGGAAGACCCAAAGCTTCCTAAGAAAAACAGACTGAACTTTTTCCATTTGCTGCTGTTTAGTTTGCTGATTCAATTGCTTGTCTACGTTGTTCAGACCAGGGCCCAGGGCTCTGCTGTTGGATTCCGAGATATTTCATATGGACAACTTGCTTACTGATGTTGCCATTTAAAGTCCATTTAAATTGCTTTCTAACTTTAGTGAACACCGGAACATTAGACTTATCATAATTAACCATGAGGCTATTCATGGAGTTCCTAATGCAGCTAGTAAATGATGTAACTCAGTTCTGGAAAATGGCACTAATACAGCATCATCAGCATACAGAAGTAAAGGTATCTTAGTATTACACAGTCTGGGAGCATGAGAATTGATGTTGCAGAAACAAAGAGCCAAATCACTTAAAGATAAATTAAAAAGGGGCCAAACCCTGTCTAACTCCACTTGTAACAGGGACTGGGTTAATACAGGAGTTGGCAACCCGTGGCTCTGGAGCCGCACATGGCTCTTGAATCCCTCTGCTGCAGTTCCGTTGCTCAAAACACACGCAGCCACGGCTGCCAATCTGCGACCCACGCCGATCTACTGAGCTTTTCCCCCCGATAGGCCAACCATGGATAAATCGAAGAAAAGTTTCTGAAGAAAACCGAACGTTTAATGGTACATGGGTAGATTAATTTGCTTTTACTGCTCACGAAATTATGGGGTTTGCTGTTTAATGCATGCAGTCCTTTAGCACTGACTTTGACTCTGCAGGAAGCTGTTCTCCTATTCAAAATATATGAAAGGAGTCCTACTAGATTATAATGTAAGATTAAAAATAAGTTTTCAGTGACTGAACAAGAGCTGCAGCTAAATCATAATGAAGATATACTGTAGATCTACTTTCTTGTTTTAAGAAGATTCTTATAAAAATTCCAGCAACATTATTACATTGGGAGAGGGATGTTTGTTCAGTATTTCACCAGACTATTATTGATATTTGTTGTATTGCAGAAACTCTACTTACTGTATGAAAGTATCAGTTAGTCCTTTTTTTATTCAGGTTGACAGCTGACTGCACCCTCCAGTACATGTGATAAAAGGATGAGGGCACACAGAAGCAGACAGCATTTTTGATTTGCTGCAGGTGGACAATTTAAGTTCGGCTTTTTATTTCATAAATACGAGGAGAACTCAAATAGACATTAAGTATTTTATTTGAAAGTAACCTTCAACCCAGCATCTTTTTTTTTGGAGTTCAAAATGTTTTTGTTGCATGCAGAAATAAAAATTTGTTTCCTCTGTAGTAGTTCATTGATTTTATAAATGAAACACACTAGTTTTTTATATATAGCATAAAGGTAAAAAACTATATATGCAGTGTTATCTTCATTTCAGTTGTCAAAAGGGCTTTGTGGCTCCTGGTGCTTTCTGTGGGAAACTGGTCCAAATGGCTCTTTGAGTGTTAAAGGTTGCCAACCCCTGGGTTAGTAGAAACTTGTCCCTGCAGACTACATCTGACTCAGCTGGAAGTCTGGTTGTACAAACACTTGAAAAGGAACAGTAAGTGCCTATCTGTGGAGCTATTACATAACTTAGACCACAACAGTTCCCTCGAAATCATATCAAAAGTTGATTTAAAGCAGGGGTCTCAAACTCGCGGCCCACGGGCCAATTGCCGGGACGGGCAGGGCACAGGGGAGAGGCCCTGCGGCCTTCAAAGTGCCGGCGGCGCCCAGGCCGGCTGTGGGATGAGCGGCCCACCCCCACCGCAGGGGTGGAATACTTGATGCGGCCCAGACTCACCCAGACTCTACTTCCAGCGGCCCCCAGGTAAGTTGAGTTTGAGACCCCTGATTTAAGGTCAATAAAGGCAGTGAATAGTTTCCACCAGAAACGGAGGTATACTTCTCTGCAAAGTGATTTAGCACAATGGTTTAAGGTTGACTGCCCCACTTTAAACCCAGTCTGTTCCTCACCTATTACACAATTTTATTTCATCCAGGTTAAAGGCTTATGCTTTGAGTACCTAGCATGAAGTTTCCTGATAAATGAAAGGTTGATAGGGGAATAACAGGCAGGGTTAGCTTTGTCACCTTTTTTTTAAAAATAGGAACTATTATTGTTTTATTCCAGATATCAGGAATCCTTCCAGAGTTATTAATATATGTAAAAAGGCTAACAATAGAGGCAGCCACCATCCTGGATTTGATTTTAGAAGATCAGGTGAAGCAGAATCTGAGCTAGGTGCTTTACCAGACTTAGGTCCGACAATCAAATCAATAACTGCACTAGGAGTAACAGTCTGCCATTCCAGAGTATCAGAAGACAAGCAAAAGCTATGCAAGAAAAGAATATTAGAATCCTGAAATATTGCAGAAAAATGTTTTTCCCACTCATGATTAGAAAGACAACAAGCAGGATATTCATATTGCTCTGATAAGACTCCCATTACAAGTTGCCAAAATAATTTATCATTCTTCTTTTGCGCAACACATAGTAACAAATTTCATATATCTCTTTAGCTCTTTTCTTTTGGTTATTAAAATCTTGTATTCTTGTTTCAAGTTGTAATATATCTCTGGTTAGACATTTGTCTCCATTATCTCAATATGCAGAATAAACCTACCTAATGTTATTCTTACACAATCGACACACATTATCAACACAGCTTTTGTTTCAGTAGTCTTTATTCCCAACAGGGGAACTATTAAGTAGGCTAAGTGTACTCCTTGCTGAGATTTTTTTTCTTTTGAAGAAAAATGGATCAGGCACCTGCAATTTGCAGCCTCCAAGTTCACTGCCAGTTTACAGATCTGTACAGGTAGAACATACTTAAGAGGAAAGAGGCTACAGTGCACAAGTCTGCTTAAATATTTTTCAAATGAGTATCATATCAGAACCATCTTATGTAAACAGGAGAAAATTCTATGGTGCAACTCTTGCTGTAAATGGGAGAAAAGCTGGATGCTTCAGTGCTCCCTCATAGTCAACGAGAAATCAGTGAAATAAAATGCTAGCATTGAGCTCTTTGTCTTATGTGCTATTTTCAAAGTTCATGGAATGTTTAATATCCGGGTGAGTAAAACCTCACACTTCCACTCTGAAATAATCCAGCAACAGCTGCGGCATGGACTTCTTCTGGCATCTTGGTTCTTTGAATAACAAATGTAGAATATTCAAAGGAAGAAAGTAAATCACAAAGTAAGGCAGGAACAAAATAAATGTATTTCAAGTACACCACAACACATATTGATTAAAAAAATACTTTATTTTGCTGTCAGTATAAAAAAATGAGACCATTGTTATAACATGTGTAGATATGGGCAACAATAGTGAACAGCAAAACAAATGAACAACCCCCCCCCCAAAAAAAAATCATCCATAGAATGCCAGAGGTATACTGTGCTGATTAATGGTAGAGGGTATTTGATAAACAGCAAACAAATGATTGTTTCCTCCTGGGATAATTAGCATTAGTCCTTAAGGTTAAAGACTCCTATGGGGATTTTGCAGCTTGCTGCAACAGAAACTCCTCCTTCCTTGTGCCACAATTAGATTCTCTTCCAATTGGACCTTGAGCCGTATGCAAGCATCAGCAGGGTTCCATAACACCAGAAATCTGAGGCCAGAGGGAAGAAGGCCATGCAGTGACTCTTTCCCATGCCAGCACTTATCTAGCCCTTGGGAAAAGAGATTCTGGCACAAGAACTGCTGATAGGGTGAGGTGGGGAACTGCCCCTTCGTGCTTCTTCAGACTGCAATTGCTTATTTATCATGGTTACCCACATTCAGGTTCTCCATCTGCTGTGATATTTATGCATCTTTGCTTCAATTGCTTAATTTATAAGGTAACAGAATTCAAATATTTTTGGTGTGGAACTTGGGTTGCTTGAGAACTGAACATGATGCCAACCTATAATGCAAAATGGAAATATTTCTGCCATTTACCTGCAGCTACTTACTCAGCAGTCTCTGCACAAGTTGGCTATTGATATAACAATTAAATACTCTGTAATCACAGTTATATTAATCATTTTTCCATAGCCTGATGTTTGGGACTACAGTACCCATCTTCCCTGATCATTAGCCATGCTGGCTATGGCTGACAGCAGTTGTGGGTCAAAACATCTAGGGGCCACAAGATTGGGGAAGGTTATACCAGCAGAGGGCCTTCCAAATCATTTCCCCTCCATGTTCTGTGCATGGAAAGCTGCACCTGTGGAATGACTGGGCACATCACATGAGACAAAAGCATTAACTTAGCCTAGCTGTGCATATGAAGGGCAAGGAGAGGGTGCACCATCTGTTACAAATAATCACACTACAAGGTTTAAAGAAGAACTGCAAGCAATGCCAGTACTTGCCTTCCCCAACCAGGTGTGTTGGACTGCAACTCCCAGGATGGCCATGGCTGGGAAAGTGGGTGTTACAATCTCCCACACCTTGGGGTAACAGGTTGAGGAAGGTGGGCTTACATTACACTTTCTAATTTGCTATTTTAGTACAATGAAATCAAGGAGTGGGCTTTTCAGTCTTGTTTCTGCACCCTAAAATAAATCCAGAAGGGGGGGCGCTAAGGAGCTGCAGTGTGGGCTTCTTCCACATGGACTTCTAAGGCTGCCAGTTACATGCAGGGAGGCTCACGTCACAGTGGCTCTCGTGCAACTAAAAGGTAATTTCGGAAGCCCCAATTTCTGCTAATCCAGGAATGGGAAACCTCCATTTCCTAACTGACCTGAACTTCTGAGTAACCATGTTTGGATAAACATTTCCCACCATCTGCCCCGGTGTAAGATAAAAGGGTTTCATGTACTCTTTCACAATTTAAAATGAAAGGTGAGTCAATTCTTAGTGAAGAAACCAGGGAGGGAAAGCAGCAGGGGATCAAAATATAAGAGTAGAAACGATTTTTCCTTAAGTAACCAGATTTTATTATTTAAGTCTTTAATGCTGTAACTTGTAAAGACAAAAATCAGCCCACAGCAAATATAAAGTAACTTACCAAATGTTGTTCTATGGAGGAGACTTCCTCGTCTCTTCCCAAACCTCACCCATGAACATACTTTAAGGCACTTTTGTCAAAAGTCTTTCAAGCTGAAAGCTAATACACCTCTCAGAGAGTGAAAAACGGTTTCTGTGACAATTTTTCCCTGATCTTCACATGCATCACACACATCCATACACACATATGCATACCAAAACTATTTATGATACCTAAGTTGCTTGCATAGAATGTCTGTAAACTACAAAGAATATTGTACTGTTCAGAACTCAGCTTACTCTAGGCTCAGAATAACAAAGCCCCAGTACTAGAGATAACCTGGTAGTTCCCGGATCTGGCCAGGCTTTTAAATGCCTCCTAATGTTCAAGGAGCCTAGAGACAGATGGTACGTAGCATTTTCCAAGGAGATAGGCAGTTTAGGAGAGAGATGGTATGTATGCTTTTTCCACCCCTGAATCTGGGAAGTGGGCTTTTGGGATGGGGTTACATTGCATCCCAAATCCAACAAGATCTTTTTGAACAGAGCTGATAATGGGGCCAAATAAATATGCACAAGCACTCCAGAAGGGAAGCTTCTTTCAAACAGCTTTAAACGTATTGACTGTCTCCAACTTTAACCTCTTTAACTGTCATAGAGGGCTTTCACATGTATTTTGCTCTGGAACCATTCAAAGCAAGAATAGCCTAACTTTCCAGAAGGACATTATTATTATTATTAATTATTATTATTTTGTTATTTGACAGTGGGCACTTCAGATTCTGTCAGAATGATAAAAACAGGTAATTTCAACAAAAGATTGGTAGTGGGGTCTTCTAATTGCTTAAGAAATTAGAAAACCGGATGCATTATAATATTATGGCACTATTCTGATTCATGCAACAGCAGAAGGGAAGCCCCTGGAAGCCAGGGATTGGAAACTGGACCCCAGACCACCCAAGGTTGCCCACTTCTGCAAGTGTTTGCATTCAAACATGGAATCTCCTGCCTCTGTAACTGAGCCATCTCAGAGAAAGTGCATTGACTGGATTGAGGTTCAGGTAAATACTGCATTCAAATACAAGCAGTGTAGCCTGGACATTCTTAAACAAGCTCCCCGTTCTTCGTTAATACTAATTCAATCCTCCTCAAGCAGGTGCCCATGAGATGTATTGGACTGTAACTCCCAGTACCCCAGACAGCATGGCCCACAATGAGAATTTTGGGGCCATTTTGGAGTCCAAAACATCTCCAGGGTGCTGGCTTAGGGAAGGTCATTTTAGTTAGCGTTAACAAAAAGATCTTGCCACTGACCTCTCAGGAAAGGCACATTCCAGCATTACTGCAGTCGTCTCCAAACATGTGATTACATTTTAAGGTGAGAGCAACAAATGTACCTCCATTCCAGATACTGGTTTCCAGACCCAGTAGAGAAAGCAAGCAGCTCAGTACATTTAAATAAATAGAAATATTGGATCCAATATGCATAGAAGACTAACAATCACACACACACATAAACACCAAAGAACTACCAGCTAAATAAAATGTGACACAGTCCTTTGCAAGCCTTCACCTCTTTGTTTTGTCAAATTGGAGTAAGACAAACAAATAGCAAGATCTTCCATTTGGGACAGCCAAGGTCTGTTTCAAAAGTTTTACCTGCAGAACAGAGGACTCCTTTCAACTCCTCTCCTGGCAAGGAGAGTGACTGCTCAGGAGATCTTACCAGAGAAATTAAGTCTTTAAAGAAGTTTTCTTCTCAATGGAACAGGGGCCATCTCATTTAAACAAAGCTGCAATTACTCAGCTTGAACATTTACTTTTCTACCTTGTGATAAAGGGAACTCAGAAAGTGCCAGAGGCAATGAAGGAAGGAGTGAGTCCAGAATCTGCACTGGTTTCTCAGCTACAGAATCCCACATCTGAGAAGTGCCTTCTGTACCACTGACTGAAAAATGCAAACATTCAGGGTTGCTCACTGCAGCCCAACTTTGGTGACAGCTGCCAGCTTTGGGGGAAGGCACTACGGTAGCAGTTCAAAGCATGGCCGGCAAGGAAGAGGCAATCCAAAGCATGGCCAGCAAAAAAGAGGCCAAGTGGGGAGGGCAGGTTCCTTCTTGCTCTACTGCCATTGGACTCAACAGCAAGGCTGTGGCAGATGGAATTTAGCATGCCTGTTTTTGCCCCTTCCTAAAGCCACAAATTGCCCTCTTGGCTTTCCTAATGGGAATGTGTGGGCAACGGATGTTGGATGATTGGGAGAATCTAAAAAGATTGTGGAGGAATCCAAAAGGGAGGAAACGGCCATAAACCCACACCCTTTAAAAGAAGGAGCAGGGGATGGCAAGCCCTGGGGTCAGAGCTGCCTGAAGGCTGAAATGGAGATTGTTGAGGAATACGGAAGCTGCTGTTCCTCAAGGCACTTGCTTATCATCAATGGAGAAACAGGGAAGGCAGAAGAAGGCTAAAGCTCTACATGAGCTTTGTGCAGGATGCAGGGAATGCTCTGAGAATCCCTGAAGCTATAAGCACAGCTAAAATTGAGTTGGTGTGGATCAGTTTCTTGGATGAAAACCCATGTAAAAGATAAAAATCATGCTTAAAAAAAAGAATTCTAATGGGGAAAAAAATCAAGATTTTGATGAGACAAGTGAAGAGAAAAAGGCCCGAGGCACAGCGAAAGAGGGTCGCAAGCAGACTGGGGAAAGGGTGGGCACTCCAACCATTTATACTATGCGGGGGTGGAGTTCCCGCCAAAAACTGTTAAAGGTATTAAATCTTCCCGGCAACAGGCACTGTGCTGGCATAGCACCCATGATGTGTGATGCACAGAGACCACAATGAATCACTTAGGTTTGCAAATATATGTGAAGGCAAGATCCAACCCTATACAGAAGCTATAACCGAAAGCAACAATAACACATGCTTGTGCTGCAGCTTCAATGTCAGCCTGTCAAAAGAACAGGCAAAGAACCTCACCATGATGGTTTGTATGAAGTAAAACCTTGTTTTAACATGACTTTGCCTGCAGCTTATATTAACAGTGTTAATGTGCTGCTTTATGGTGCAATTAGATTTTATATACCTTGCCCCACACTAACATTTTGTTACAATAAAACTCAGGAGCTCATTTCAAGTTTTACACACAACACTGCAAGAAAAAAACATTTTGTTGACCTTTGCACAATACTTAACACTTTACAATGGTAAACATATCCGATAAGACATTTTAAAAGCAAAGAGGGTGCATCACGAGCCCTGAATGCGCAAACGGTCTGCCATCCCATTGCAAGAAAGCATTTGATGCAAATAAACTGTGAAATGAAAGTCTACAACGTTCAGGATCTCATTTGGCTTTAAGAGGCTGCATTCACACATAAGGCAATCCAGAAAGAGCACTTCTGCCAGTTGGAAGGGTTTGGGGTTTTTTTGCAATGCCAAGAAGCAGGGGGTTCACTGAGCAATTGCACCTCAGCAATACAGCATTGGTTGCCAGTTCACCTGCTCTGCTATCATCTGTGGAGGCAGCTTTGCAGGCAGGCAGAAGAAAAAGATGACGAGTGCAGGGGTGGAATCCTACTCTGCTTCAGAAGGTGCTCCCATGCGGGGCCTCCAGCATGTTTAGTCAGTGCACTCAAAATCTGCATCTTGGCCCTGTCTCTATAACCTGTCCACTCCAAGGCTGCGCAGGGATGCCATTAGGCCCGTTCACATGACAAAGCAGATCCCCAGGGGTTATTTAACCTACAGTGAGGCTGCAGTGCGTGTGGCTGCCATTTTGAATTTGCTTATATGGGGTTCAACCCCATGCATAGCCCATGCTCTCTGGGTTTGCGCAGCACAACAACCCTGAATTTGCAGTGCAGAGCCCAGCTCAGCATGGCCCAAGGTGCCACAACAAGCCATTGTGCGTTGCCCAAACCTAGTTATTATGTACCCGTAGAAAATGGGCCCTGTTGGCTCAACAAATCCTCAGCCAGTCACACCTTATTTTTTGAGGCACTGCTTCCACGTGTTTCCAGTTGCATGGCAAGACTGCAAAGTAGCAGGGAAGGTCTTGGACAAAGGTCACTTCTGGTCATTCCCATCTGCAGGCAGCCCTCCTGAGCCTGGTGGAGCACTGCTTCGACAGCAAATGGTTGGACGCTCAATGGGCAGAGCCATGAAGTACGTCCATTTAGAAGAGGGATGCGGAAAGTGTCATATCACAAAATAACCATGACGGAAGGCCATTTGGTCCAGGACACTGAGTGAAGCCACCTGAACTGCAGCTTTCTCATAGTTGCCTATGCCAGCTGGGCTCATGGGGGTGGCAATCTAACAATGCCTAGACGGTGACTCGTTCCCCAGCCCAAGTATAGATTGGATGGAGCACCTGGAAGGGTCCTCTGGTGCCCATGAGCCCATTACATACATTCTGGCCCCAAGTCTCCCAGTGGTGGGCCTCACGACAGAGAGAAAGCATTGCATGATCTGGCCTGTATTGGGTGTATTCTTTGAACCTGGTGTTGCTCTGAATACCTAACCCAAGTGGGAGGCTGGAGAGAGCAAGCTGCATTCAAATAAATATGGTCCAAATTTTCACCACACACTTCCCCACCCCTGCTGCCCCCAGGGTGCACGTAAGCCCAAGATGATGAATGGGCTGAGGGCACTCCTAGGCACAACCAAGTGGACACCACCTGGCACTTAAGCTCTGAGCTTGAATATTTTTGCTATGCAAAGCTACTTTTTGAGCAAAGAGGCCTGAACAATTAAAATCCCCTCTGCCAGCAGAAAAGAATTTAAGGCAATTTTTCATTCTGATATGTATATTCCTTTTCTTTCTTTTTCTTTCCAGGAGAAATTATCTCTGTTGTTATTAGACAAAAATGAATGACCCTATCTACATGAAGGGGAGCTATAGACTGAAACATGTAAACTCGTACAACTTGTAGCAGCATTTTCCAGTCCTTCATTCTGTAACCACAGTGAATTTTCATAAATGTTGCCTATTTTGATTTTAAAATCCAAGTGGGGGAAGGAGAGAGGGGAATGACCTAAAACTGCAGAAGATGTCACAGTGGTGAAAGCAATGTTTTCCACATTGTCTGCTACTATTATTTAAAGAGAAGAGCATTGCAGTAGACACGGGGGCTTTGATCACCAGGAACTCTCGTTTGTGCCCCTTGGGGACAGACAGCAGCCTCACGACAGCATTTCCACAGAGCTCCCGTTTTTTTCTCTGGGGTTTGGACAGGAAATCTTCCCAGTGGATGGAGCACGTGTGTCCCCATCTTTCCCTGAAAATAGACATATTTGCTAACATCTCTGCTTATTTTCTAAACCTATAAAAACTGTACAGCAAAGTTCGGGATTAAAAGTCTCATTATCGCAGCCAACTGAAAGGCCTCGGAATGGCAAAAGAAGGCGTTCTTCTTCCATGGTGATTGTAAGAAAAACAGCAGGTATAAAAGGTTGACAGGATGAGTTGTCCCCAGCTAGGTGCGCCAAGTCCTCTGCCATGCTTCTGCCGCACTAGCTGTTTGGTGTTCCAATATCCACTGTGATTTTTGTATACAATCGGAATTTATCAGTTTTTACTACAGTATATGTCAGAGTGTTTAAACCATCGGACTTCATAGTCTCCCTTGTGTGAGCAATTTTGTTAAACCTGTAAAGATGAGAGAGATTTACAGCTGGGAAATACCAACTTGCAACCAGCATCTTACTTTGCATCTTTGTCAAGAGAATTTTGGTTAATTGCTTTCCGTGAGAATGAAACCAACATATTTTATAGTGAAATGTTCAAAGTCAAATATTTGATAGTCAAATGTTCTTCACAAAGCATGTGAAGACTCTGCTGGAACCACAGGCTGGCTAACAAAGAAATGATCACGGCAGCCCATCGTGGTTTGAATAAACCATGCTGGGTTGCACTGTGTGTTGGTGTCCATTTTGAATATTCAGCCTCCAGTGAGGGGCTGCCATGCTGTATTCTATCATCTGAACACAGGTGGCAGGGGTTGTTTGAGGGTTAAATGACCCTCAAATAATCTTACCCTGGGTTATCTGCAGATTGCTTAACTTGCACACAAGCCCCGCTGCCCAGGTTCAGATGACATGACAAACCATAAGAGTTCCCCACTGAGAGGTGAATTTTCAAAACGGCCACTGGCAAATGCCACAACTCATCATGGCTTAAATAAATAAGTTGTGGGTGGTTTCAGTCACTGTCTGAACACAGTCAGAATCTATGAGATAGATTGAAATGGCTCGTAGCTTAGCTTAAAGTTAGTGACAAAAGTTCAAGTTTCCTAGACCAATTCATTAGTAAAAATTAGTACCCAGAGTTAAAGAGGGCATAAATGAGCTCTTACATGTCCCTTCGGGGCAGCTGTGTTCCCTGCTCATGTGGATGCCTTATTCACATCTAAAAACATTCACTATCAGACAATTTAAGGGAAAGGGACACAAAATAGATAGACTGTAACTCTTTTGGAATGGTGTCCACAGAATGCAGAGCAAAAGACCAACCTCTGTGGATTAGGCTCATTTTTGCTGTCCCTCGAATGGCGGATCATTCGACATTTTCCAATGGTAGCATCTGGGCGGGAGATCCCCATGCCTTTGAAAACTAGCCTGCAAAGGCAAACAAATGGAGATGCTGTTATTACATAAATGCCATCTCTCTCATGCACACACACCTTTTAAAGCCACCTGAAAAGAACCATCTGGTTGCAAATAGGTTAGCAAATGGATTCATGGGAAAATGTGACAGTACCGCTACGGAATGTTTATATAGCGTTTGAAGTGTCTAAAGTACTTCCCGCAGCCATTAACTCAGCGAGTTATGCAATGTTGCTGCAGGTGAGGCTAATCATCTACAAAGTCCTGTGTCACATTCCTAATCGATCTGGGAATGGAATGGCTATTGCTAAGGGCAGGGCCTCAACATCAGTCACCCCACTAATTTGGAAACCAGTGAAAAGGGTGGGCAATGTGATTTTAGACTCCAGTCATAGAATCATCACTCCCAAATCACAAGAAATAATAGTTGGACTTTGCCCTGCATTTATCCTCTGAAGCACTTTGTTCCAGACATCATGCTTCAATTTCCCCCAACGATATTTGAAGAACACTTAATGCAAATCTTTGTTAAGACTTTAAGGCTTCGGGTTGCTTTCCTCTACCACAGCCCAATCCTGTGCTTGTAAACCAAACCCCTCACTTTCCCCATAGTCAGGAGATCCCAAAATCTTGGCATTATTATGTCAAAACTGCCTGGCCTTCCAAACAAGATGCAAGTCCCAAGGGCCAAGGAATAAACGTTTGTCAGCAGGCTGATGCAAGCGGCCGCTGCCAAAGGCTTGACCCTGACAGTGGGAAGTTGTACTTTTGTTTGTTCTCCACCTTGGATTGCTGTGCTAAGAGACAAGGAGCAATGACCCCCGCAGGTTGGAAAGCATCAGACTCCACTCCTGCATCTTCTGCCAGCTTGGTTTGATGGCAAGCCAGCAAGAAAAGGGAAACAGTACATGAGCAACATTCCCTGGCCGTTGCTGGATACAGGTCGCTGCAGGCTAGATCTGCAGGTCAGCTTGTAGCTGAACAACAAGCCAGACACTCTTTGCAAACGACATCCTGCACAAGCAAAACAGAAGGGAAAGCCAGGGCAATAGCCTAGACAATATGAGGAGTAGGTAAGGTAGCCAAGAGGAGTATAAAAATATCCATCAGGTACACAAGGCAGAGCAGAGCTTTTTTCCCTTTGTCCTTTTACTTGAACCCAGGGCCATCCCATGAAGCTGAAGGGTGGGAGATTCAGGAAAGAGGGAAGCCCCCCCCCCCACCCCCAGAGTCTGTGCTTGCAATTTGCAACTGCAAGCTGCGGTGATGTCACTACGCCAGCCCTGGAAAAGGGACCAAGCATTCCATAATTTGGCTTCGCTCCCTTGCTCGCTCCTTAGCAAGCGACCAGCAGAACAGATCAAAATGCAGCCATGAGAAAGAGGGAGGCTACTTAGCCTGTTCCCCCCAGTTCCTGACTGCAGTTGATAAGCAGGCAGAGTGTGTGCGCAAAAGGGGTGTGTGTGTGAGCGAGCCAAGGAAGCACGAGGGCAATGACTCGTCTGCACATCCTGTCCCAGCTGCTGGGAAGATACTTTGCTCTCTGCCTTTCTATTTGGGGGGAGGAGTTGAGGACCCACTGCTTTTTATAATTTTATTTTCTATAAAATAATTACTTCCCCCTCCGATCCCCACAGAAGCTGCTTTATACTGAGAACTTAGTCCATCTAGCTCAGTACTGTTGACACTGACTGGCAGCCACTCTCCAGGGTTTCAGGAATGATTTTTTCCAGCCCTCCCGTGAGATGCCACAAAGCAGGAGCTCTGCCCCTGAGCCAGTGGCTGGTGCAGTAGACCAATGTGGATTTAAAAAGGACTTGGGGTACTTCTGGGAGTTGGATGCATCCTCCAACCCTCTTCTTTGCACTCCTGATGTTAAAGTTATCTTTCATGCGTGAGTTTGCACTTTTGTAAAACCGGTCACTGATGGAGCAGAGAAATGTGGGGTCAAAGGATTTAATGCTCTGGTGCAGTTCCATGGGACAGAGATACCAACTCCTTGCTTTGAACACATGCTCTGGTTGACTCCATTCTCTGAAGCCTTCCTTGCCTGCCGTTCACTTCCCAGCCTCCGCTTTATCAACTGCCACTGAGTGCAAGCTTGTCTTACCGCAACTGAAGCCTGAATCTTACATTAATTGCAGAAAACAGGTTGCCCCAGCAACTAGCATTATGACTCAGTCATTATCTGTAACTGCATGGCAGCAGCCAAGATAACAGATCTTAAATAGCAGTGGCATATAATGCAGCACTTGCTTGTACCAACAGAAATAAAACTGTTCCATTCCGAGCTCTTCTACTTCTTTTCTAAAAATGCACAGCTCAGAAATAAGGAACTGAGAGGAGTTATCTTTAAATATGCAAGGTTGCTGTGTCCCAGCTCTGCACAGAATAGGCTTACACAGGTCCCACTCCATCTCAGTGCCAGAACATCCCAATAGCTGAATGGAAGGGCAAAGCTTCCACCTGATTTAGTAGCACAGGTGCTGCATCTCCAAAATGCCCATTAAAATTAAAATTAAAAGAGCCAGCAACATGCTGGACTTTCATGATACTGAAGGTTCCTTCCATCAAGGGTTCTAATTCGCTGCCACATTAGTGGGCTTTACACTTATAAGCTGCACTTTGGCAAAGCAGCAACTCTGGAAGACTCATTATATAATCAGGATGCTTATTGGGTTTGAGAATTTTTAAAAATACAGTCCCCCTCCCTCCCTCCCCCCCCCCTCTCTCTCTCTCTCTCACACACACACATACACAGAGGGAGGGAGGAATGGAACTAGAATGAGGAAGTGCCCATCATAAAACAGTATGGGTAGTCATTCTTCAGCAGATTTCTGTTTCCATATTTCCATGTGCCTGGGGGACTACTTGGCAATCCTTTACTGCACAGGGAGCACACCAGTAGCACAAACGGAATGACATTTTTTCAGTTTGCCATCACCATAATGGCAATTATTCCTCCACTTTTCTGGTTTTTAAATCAAATTAAAGATTGGTTCAGGACACACAGAATCTGAAAGCTAAAATGCTCCTTCCTTGGAAACAAAATATTTTGCGAAGGTGCCCATGTCTAGACTTGGATTCAAGCCCCACCTCTGCAGAGGGATGCATCCTGAATCAAGAAATGTTTTCCCAACTTGAAGCAAGAAACTTTCCCCAGGCAGTTACTCTCTCCCATCTGCCAGATAGCAAAGCTCAAGCACCACAGTGGTGGAAAAGAGGAAGCGGGCCCAGGGGGAGTGAGTCACCTTGGAAGAGGCAGAGTACTCCTACTCTGAGAAATTAGCCACGACTGATAAAGAAAAGTCCATTTTACAGAAAAAATACTTGTATTTTGAGAAACACACCTTTAACCAGAAACCCTGCTCACTGGAGGTGTGCAAAACAAGAATGAATTTGAATGGACTAGGCTCTCTTGTAGATAGTGCACTTAGAAATCACAGCGGAGAAGGCAGCCCTCCAAGCAAGTAGTACGTTCAAGGAAAACTCTCTCATGCAGGGCCTCTGCTGGTGGCTGTACTTTAGATGTGCCAGTCGCTTCTATCACTCCTGACTGAACAAAGGGACTAGCAGGCATTGCCTCCCCTGCCCCCTGGCTTGTTACACCTGAGCATGCAGTCTGTTTGGGGAGCAGTTCTCTGATCCAGCGAGTGCTCATAACCTCCAGCCTGAAAGGTCTGGGTGATCCCTAGACAAGAGCTCAGCACATCAGAAAACATGGAGGAAAACCCTGTGTCACCCGCTGGCACTCAGATCAAGGGATGCCAGAAGGACACTGGAGGCCAAGCACTTTCTGGCCAAAGGCCTCCAAAAAGGAGCTTCCCTAGACAGCAAAGACATCTTGAAGCACAAGTGCCTTACCTGTTATAAATGTCGTCATCTTCACCACCCCAGCCCCAATAATTATTGGGAAACCCATTGATTTTTTGGAATTGCTCCTTGCTTAAAGCAGACACGCCTCCAAAATACTGATTGTAAGGTAAGCTGAAAGAGAGAAAGGCAAGTGGTTAATCTGTTTCCACTACCTTGGGAAAGTATGGATTGCACTTCTGGTCATTTTTTAAAAAGTATTAATAATTGCATTGAAAAGAATATGTAAGGACAGCTATATAAATATCTGCTTCCACACACAGGACCAGCTGTTATTTTCTCTATCAGAATTACAGAAGAACTCAAAAGTTACTGGCACTTGCTTTTTCCTAGCAATTAACAATTCTTAAAACGTCACTTTGCAGATCATCTTTTCCGCAAATAGTAACAGCTTATTTGCTTTACCCAAACCTGTCCCTAGTGAAGCTGCGTAACTTGCAGTCGTTCAGTTCAGTGGTAATCAGAAACCATGCTCTTACCAGCTACATATTGTGGCAAGACCTGGGCTGGCGCAGGCACTCCTCCCATCTCGGAGGAGGAGAGAGGATGGGTGAGGCTAGAATCCCCAGTGCTCACCAGATTAATTTCACACAATGCTGTCGGAGAGTGCCTCAGATACTTTGTCATGCTTCAGTACTGGGCATACCAAATGGGCAGATTAGTAAAGGGACCTGACAGCTTTTCTTACTCTGGAAGGCTTGTCCTACTCTTTCACCCACAAGATGTTTCTTTTCAGATGTTTAGAGTTGTCCTATTTCCTGTTGGATTTGGTACATACTCTCCCAGCCATGGCCAAATAGTTGCCATCCTGAGCTATGAAGCATTACATACAAGGGGCATGGTTTTTTAATATGTGGGGGGGCATGCATAAGCATGCACCCACAGATCCATGTATATATAGGAGGTATGGGAGCATGGTGACCAATGTCTGATTTGATTTTCTAAAAATACAATATGGCGCATGCCTCAAGAGCTGCAAATAAATTAGCTAGGAAATTAAAGTATAGGATATATTTATTTGAGCAGTTTCAAGCACTTTTTAGGCTATGCCTTCCCAAAAGAACATGGAAACAAGTGATCCCATCAGGACAGGTGTCCGGAATTACCCTGTGAAGTGGCTCTGCAAACATGAACTACTGTAATCGGTCAAGGGCAGGCTAGAAGAGGCCACGGCTTTAAGGACTTCCTAAATGCTACTTCAGGCACCCAGACCGCCGAGGGATGTTAGATATCCTTGGAATAGGGTACCCCAAGTGCAGTGGGGTCATGCCCTCCACTGGGCAGGCTCTCCTGAGTACAAGCACATATGATTAATCCAGCCATGACATTAACAAATGCAGTAGACTTCCCCCTGCTACCTCAGTTGTTGTGGAAGGCGACCTGGTCCAGGGGGGAGCCCTCAGTCCGGGCACAGGGCCCCGCCAGACATAGAAAAGGCTCTCCCCAACCCTCCACTAACTTCCATGTGTAGAAGATAACAAAAATGACAAGTGGGGGTGGAGTTAAGACGCTTGTCCTCACTCATCTTCTCTCAGAAAGTGCTGACATGGAATCAGAAGGCTACTTGCTCCAGGACATGATTTTGTGCTGAGTTCAGAGAAATGACAGCAACTGAGCTCTTACCGAAATCCAAACTTATCCATAGACACGGAGAGGTGCCTGGGTTGACTGTAACACTTGTAGGTATTTCTGTCATCCATCGGGATTAGGTCGACATCACTAAATACAAAGCAGTCATAGTCGTATTCTTTTAGAGCTTCTGTGAAGCCTACGTTCAGAAGCTTTGCGCGATTAAATGTTGCTTCTCCATCCTAATGTAAGAAAAAGAAGAGCTGTTACATTCCCCAAGAGAAGGCATTCCACATTTTGGTCTGTTACAGGCTTGGTCCTCCACAAGCAACAGCATACACATGTTGGGAAAATTCATACAAGCCCACTGCTGACCAGTTTCCCCTAGTGTTCATTTCAGCGTAACATTAGCAAGATTGCTTTAACCCCAAGAGCATTATGAATTTGAGATCACAATCCCTGCTTATTTTGTCTTCTGCGCAGACTTCTCTGGAAGAGGCTGCAAGTCTCAATTGCCACCTTTCCATCAGCAGACAAAGACATTTCTAGTCAACCAAGCAGGCGAGCCAGTAGGGTTGGATGCAGCTTTCTTTCTGTTATTACTGTGGTTTTAGTTTGTTTTATCACAGTTTTATCATTGTTTCGATAAAGTTTTCTAAGCTGCTGTTTTTATTGGAATAAAGGTAGGGTACAAATTAAGGGTGCAGTCCTATGCATGTTTAGAGAGAAACTGGTCCTACAAATCCCAGCATTCCCCTGCCAGCCTGGCTGGGGAATGCTGGGAGTTTTAAGACCTTTTTTGTCTAAACATGTGTACAGTTGTGCTCCAAATAAATAGGAATCTCACATTGCTCTTCTTTGTGGTCACTTTCCCCATCAGTATCCCTGTATAAGTGCTATCTCTTCATGTTCCTCAACCCCTGAATGTTTCTGAATTTTCAGAGCAAACTGGACTGGTCAGATGCAGCACAATTACACACCTACAATCCAGTTAATTTCAGCACACCCTGACAACGTGGAAATAAAAGAACAAAGCTTTCAAATTATTTTGGAGAACTCTTAGCTGCATTTATGGAAGGCAAAATCAGCTTCAGAATGAAGCAAGGAATTCTGAAATGTTTTTAGGTATGCTCTTAAAATATTACTTCCTTATTACAGGGTTTGACGCACTGTGACTGTAACAGGAGGGGCCAAGGTCAAATCGTTGCACAAAAGTCATACAAGTGGTTTAATCGTGACATTAAGCAAACAAGTATGCAGCTACCACTTGGTTCTTTTGTTCTTCCTTCCTCCTGTGTTTGGTTTCCCAGAGAACACACCTGGCTGAAGGTCACCTAGTGACCTGAGGAGTTTCAGCTGATCTCCTTTAGCCTTCCTTGGCTGCCTGAACTGCTTTCGCTCCCTCCTTTGGCCAACATTATGGGAAAGCCAGAATCAGGTTGATGGCAAGGCACTGGAAGCTCACACAGTGCTTGCCAAGAAGAGCCCCTGGTGGAGAGCCACCACTGGATGTAATACAGAAGGTGGATGTGATGACTTCCTCTGAGGAAGTGGTAGCCAATGTGTGGTGCCCAAGTCCTACAGAAGAGTTTAGTCCCGCTGTTTGGGTGCTGGGGTGGTGGAGAGCAGATACTGAGGGCAAGCTGGAGCCTTCCAGATAGCAATACTGAACCTGTTTGGTAGTTCTGGCTATTACTGCTAAATTTGGATGTATTAAAGGTGTTTCTTCAACTGCAATGCAGAATCAATGGAATTATTTGGACTGCTGATTCAGTGCTGAGGGAAGATCTGCTATTCTTAGTTTAAATTTCAGTAAGAGTAGCTACCACAGAGTGGGGAATCCTTCACGGATGTGTCCCAGATTTTGGGGTCAGATCCTCAGGACCAGCTAGCGTTCCAATAGATCCCGTGCTCAAATGGACACAGGAGCCTTTGCTTTGTTTGTCACTCCTAATCTCACCCAGAGGTATGACCTTGGTGGAGAAAATAAGCAAGAAGGCCAACGGGGCTTTGCTAGAACAGGATAGGACAGAAGAGGGTGCTGAATGATGAGAGCTGCATAATCTTCACAGAATCCACAGCCGTTTCCAACAGTAGAAAGAGTAAAAGTTATTTGACAGGAACTTTAGCAGCACTCTAACGCTGCCCTATTCTGCTGTTATTTTAGTAAGTAAATAGTTACTAGAAACAATGGACTGCCAATAGTTTCCAGAATTCTAAATTGTAATCTTAGCTTTTGCCAAGGTTGAAATATAATGACGCTCTTCATAACTTTGGCAAGACTTCCACAATACTTAAATCAGCACAATTAAAAAGTATCCATGCCAGTTTAACTAGAATAGAGAACATGGATGGAACCACATGTTTCTCTTACTCTGATTAACCCTTCAGGCAAACCCTTTTCCGTGAATATAGAGCAATACATGAACAAACAGTGGGAAAAGAATTCCAAGATGAGACAGATGTTGTCTTGAGCAGGGACTTCAAGATGCAGATGTTTATTAGGAGATTAACATACTTTAACATGCATTTCAAGCAACAGTTCAAAATTCTTTCCTTTTGGAAAAGTCCAAACCAGAATAACTTTCAGAAATGATGCTAAACTATCATTCAGGGTTAAGCAGAAATTATTTTATTCATTCATTATTTTATGTCCTGCTGTTTTCCCCTTCCTTCAAAGGAACTCAAGGAGGCTTACGTAATTCTTACATAACAGTATTCTCACAACAACCCTGTGAGGCAGGCTGGGCTTAGAATCTGTGCCTGGCTCAAAGTCACCCAGTGAGCTGCATGACTGAGCAGGGACTAGAACCCGGATCGCCTGAGACCATCCTGCACTCTTCACCAGAACACCACACTGGCTCTCAGTGTGGATGGATTATTTATTTGCCACATTACGGACTATATAGTATGTAAATTAATGGATTATTAAGTTACCACATCTTTATCTTCCTCTTTCTACAAGGAAATGAGTATCACTACATGAAGGCATCTCTTTTTCGCTCCACAGCTTCCCCCTTGAGGTAGGCCAGGCAGAGAAGCAATGAACTGCTCACAAGGTCAGTTCAGAGCTTCTCAGCTCTATCTATCATCCATTTTAGCACAGTAACTGTCTCTCTCTCACACACATATTTCTATATAACTGCTACTTGTCTAAAAAAATCTATATTCTCCTCTGAAATGGTTACTAGCCTAAGACTCTGGAAAAGGGAAAGACAGACATTAAATCGACTCACACGGACAAGTGAAAACTTGCTGGAAATTGCACCCAGCAAGGCGATTCCCTTGGGAATTCTCCCCACATGCTGCAGGGAAAATTCCTCCATACCCGACAGACAAGCAGGCCCAGTGTGGGGTGTCCCTCCCCTCCCTCCCCTCAGGGCACCTGCAGTAACTCAGATCCTCCCTTAGCTGTGGAAGCCATTTCAGGTTGGGGACAGCTTGGCTTAAAAAAAAAATCCAAGCACAAGGGGATCTATCTGGGAGGTGCCTCCCCAGGGAAGCCCCCAGTGGTACCTTGGAGAGGACCACCTATGCTTGCCCTCTAGTTTTTGCCTGATACCGAGTTTGACTGGGTGTGCTCAATATCAGAGGTGGTGGTTTTTTAACCTGAGCTGTCATTTGCACTAAGGCAACCAGGCTCTTTGGTGCCACTGGGAGGGGTTTGCGGAGTGTGGCAGGAATAGACTGGTGTCCCATTGTCCAAACCTGGTGGGTGCCCACACCAGCCAGCCCCTCCCCATCTGCGTGGTCAGACCATGACAGGGAGAACCCTGCTTCCTCTCTTTCACAGCATGCCCCCCCATTCCTTTGGGGGCAGGTCCATTGCTGCAGGTGTCCCCCAAATGTTGACACTGCCTCCCTGCTGCTAGCACCCAAAACTTGGGGAACCCCCTGCGGGAAACTAGCCTGTCCCTTTAAATGCCAATCCTCACCCAGATAACCAGGTGCACAGGATTCTGTCCAGTTTGTCCACTTCTCAAGAGCAATCGACTCAGGGTAAATGGCAACATTGAGGGGATACTTCGGACTTCCCAGCACCCCCCTCCCAAACCAAGGGATTCTGCATGGAAGGGGAATGGGATTAAAGGGCTATCCCTTAAACAGCATCTGTGTTGTGTCTGTGCCAATCTGGAACACTGCACCCCACTTCTAACTATTTTTCAAGGTTTTTTTTTTAAATTTAGGGAGGAAAGCATCCTTTGCACCAGAATCTTTGGTGCTGCACACGTGGCCCTGGACTAGCCTTGCTTTCCCTGGTCATACAAATGACACTCTATTTCATTATCTGACACCGCACTGCACCCACCTGCACAGAGAGTTTCACACAAAACAAGTCCACGAGATGAGTAGCCCTATGGCATCCACCTCAACTCCTCACCCCACCAAAGATCCCAGTGCCAGACCAAATGCAGCAACCCCAAGTCCTCGCTTCCCTCACATTCTCACTACCTCACACTCAGCCCATCACAGATCCAATTTGCACATACATCAGTGTGCATGCAGTCAGATCAAACAGATAAGTGGCTAGTGTGTCCTAGGCAAAAATAAAACTACCAACAACATTGTAAACAATTCATGCCAGTGATCAGGTTACCTAATCATTTGGTATTGACAATTTCCTGCTGCAAGAAAGAAGGATTCTCAGGATTTCTCTTGTTTAAAAAGGCTGAAGGGATTAGCATTCCTTCTTTCTCATTTTAGCTTTTCCATGACAATCCTACATGATTGTTAACATTTACAAATGCCTCAATCCCTTCTGCATATTAGGGAGGGAGAGGAATCATGCTGCCACCCCAGCTTCAAAAATCAAGCTAAATGTGCAATCTAGCACAGAGTTAAAAAATAAAAATAAAGAAGGGTCTTTAGTCCAGAACTGCTTGGAGGCATTTGGGTAAAGGGCTAACTTCTGCTTGTTTGCCACTTTAAATAGTACCAGAGTGTCCTAAGTTAAAAGTTGTACAGTGGGAGACTGCAGATCTTTCTCCCCAAATCAAGGTAACCTGCTAAAACAAAAGAGTTAACCAAATGGCACAGAGTATTGTTGAGGTCCCTGCTAGCCAGGTGACTTACAGACCCACTAAACCAAGTGCCAATGAGTGTCAGGTAGAGATTCGTTCAGTTTCTTTATTTAGCTGAGCAAAGCAACCGGGTGTCCACTCTACACACGCAGGCAGGAACACACCACGCAATTCACCAACTCATCCTTTTTATACCTTTTTCCTTAATCTCGCCCCCATTG